TTTGGAACAACATTTCTAAGCCAACCTACTTCGCTGTGCTATGTTCTCTTTCTGTCATTGATCTTCTTTCCTTTTTTTTAATGTTGGAACAACATTTCTGAGCCGACCAAGAAAAGTGTTTTGTCTGGAAGGCTGACAGGCATTTAAATGGCATCAAATGCAGTAGGCTTGATATAAGAGAAAATCTGAAGTCTGAATGAAAAATGCGTGTAATAAATTGATACTTAACGTATAAGACAGATTTGCTTCCCCAAACTGCAGTGAAATTCTGACAGCTATACATTGGCATCTACTGCATCGACAGTGAATATCAACCAATTCACAAATGTCAAACCACCTCACTCATTCATTGAACACTAAGGACTCATTCACAAATGACTGTCAAATGGTGTTCCCCTCGACTATATTGTATGTACCTCACATGTTATTTACTTGATGTAAATAAGTCCAAGAAAGCTGAGATATGTAGGCAATAAGGTTTATTACTTAGACAAGAAATGGTGTGATACTAAAAACCTGCACATGGTTGACCCTAGACCCAGGCCTCAGACTCTTTTCAGCCCTTACTTTCTCACATTCCTGAAGTATGTGTCCCCTGCGGATTCCTGTGAAAGAAAATGGCAGGCAATTGCTAGCATGTTTACCTTTACCTTACCTGTTTATCCATTTATATTAGGATAAGTAAGGCGAGAACTGGCAGGAAGGTGCTTGAGGTGACAGCCAGGGACTGGACTGAAGGGAACAAGATTGAGGAGGAGGAGGAATGGTGGAGGTCGCCACCCCCAAACTTCTCCCGAAGCTTCCAGAGGAGAGGAAGGCAATACAGTGGTACCTTGGGTTACAGACGCTTCAGGTTACAGACACTTCAGGTTACAGATGCTTCAGATTACAGACTCTGCTAACCCAGAAATAGCACCTCGGGTTACGAACTTTGCTTCAGGACGAGAACAGAAATCGTGCTGCAGCGTTGCAGCATCAGCGGGAGGCCCCATTAGCTAAAGTGGTACTTCAGGTTGGATAGCTCAGTTGGTTAGACCATGGTGCTGATAACACTCAAGGTTGCAGGTTCAATCCCTGTATGGACCAGCTGCATATTCCTGCATTGCAGGGGGTTGGACTAGCTGATCCTCAGGGTCCCTTCCAACTCTACAGTTCTATGATTCTATGATTCTAGGTTAAGAAAAGTTTCAGGTTAAGAATGGACCTCCGGAACGAATTAAATTCTTAACCCTAGGTACCACTGTAATGAATTACAGTAGGTGGTTGAGGAAGGTCACAGCTTAGAGACAGGTAAACAGAAGGTAGGAGCTGGGAGGAGAGCCAGGAGAGAGCAGCTGGAGAATATTTCTGACCCACCTTCTCCCAGAACTCAGCGTTCATTGAGGGTGCAAGAACAAAGGACTCAGAGACAATAGGCCTCTGGAAGCCACTGTAAGGGGAAATGCTGTTGCTAGGAATGGAGGCGGGAGGAGCTCATTTGGAGCAATGCCATTACGAGGGACTGACTGTATTTCTTTGTCTCTCACATTGATGTTTGAATAAACTCATTTTTATTTAAATTTATTGAATAAACTCATTTTATTTAAAGACTCTCTCTGTTTTTCCTTGCTTCATGCTCCCACAGGGTGGGGGTGGGGAATAGAATTCCCTGAAACTGACACAGACAGAAGACCATCCATACCTCCCTTTCCTGTTGCCTCTCTGTATTAACACCCGAGGAGGCGTCAATGACTTACCTGTGACCTATGAACTTACCTGTCACTCTATCCGATGTACCTCCTTTTAATGATGTATTTTTGGTGTATGACTGATGCTCTTGTCAGGCAGACCACGTGGAGATAGTATAACATTCTGATTTTCCTTTGTTCTGGATTCTCCTCCCTCCTGCGTGCTGAGTGGGGACCCTGTTGCAATACTTTCCCCTCTTCAAATAATAAAGATCAGTCTTACTAGCTGCTTTGCTCTTGTACTCTGGTTGGCCTCTGTTCCTTTCCCTCCAAGCGATAGAGACCTTTCAAAGGACTTTACAGGCCTCTGGAAACCTCATACAGGAGCTAGAGGATTTTCTTAAAACAGACTAACCACAAAACAGAATTTAAAAAAGGAGATATGCTTTAGTTATTTTGTTAAGATCAACAAACTTTTTCTCTGAGATGTTTATTGTTTACTTCTTCAATGACTACCAGTCTTTAACAGCAAGGGCAGTTCGAATCCCCGCAATGGGGTGAGCTTCCGTTGCTCAGTCCCTGCTCCTGCCAACCTAGCAGTTCATAAAGCACATCAAAGTGCAAGTAGATAAATAGGTACCGCTCCGGTGGGAAGGTAAACGGTGTTTCCGTGCGCTGCTCTGGTTTGCCAGAAGTGGCTTAGTCATGCTGGCCGCATGACCCGGAAGCTGTATGCCGGCTCCCTTGGCCAGTAAAGCGAGATGAGCGCCGCAACCCCAGAGTTGGCCACGACTGGACCTAATGGTCAGGGGTCCCTTTACCTTTACCTGTGAAATGTGGGATGCAGGTGGCACTGTGATCTAAACCACTGAGCCTCTTGAGCTTGCTGATCGGAGGGTCGGCGGTTCAAATCCCCGCAATGATGGGGTGAGCTCCCATTGCTCGGTCCCTGCTCCTGCCAACCTAGCAGTTCGAAAGCACATCAAAGTGCAAGTAGATAAAAAGGTACCGCTCCAGCAGGAAGGTAAACAGCATTTCCATGCGCTGCTCTGGTTTCACCAGAAGCGGCTTAGTCCTGCTGGCCACATGACCCGGAAGCTGTACGCTGGCTCCCTCGGCCAATAAAGCGAGATGAGCGCCGCAACCCCAGAGTCAGCCATGACTGGACTTAACTGTCAGGGGTCCTTACCTTTACCTGTGAAATGCAGCTACCCTTTGTATTTTGGGTTTTTGTGAGGCACCCTTTGTATTTTGGGTTTTTGTGAGGCACTTCTCCAATCACTACATGTGTACAAAAATGTATGTATTAGGAGAAACTGTGTGTAAGAAAGCATACACTAGTGAAAATGGCATGCCAAAGAGAGGGCACGGAGGCAGCAGCCCCTCTTCCACTCTCTGACCTTCTAGCATATGGAGGTTCCACACAGGTTAAGTGGAATGCTAAGTCCAGCCAAAGGCGACTATGGGGTTACAGCACTCATCTCACTTTCAGGCCAAGGGAGCTGGCGTTTGTCCACAGTCAGCTTTTCGGGTCTCGTACCAAGCAGGACTAAATTGCTTCTGGTGCACCAGGACAGGTGCCAGAGAGCATGAAAATGACGTTCATCTTACACATAGCCATTGCCATCAGCCCTTGACAGCAGCCCTCTCAGCTCAGTGCCCAGTGTGGGGGAATCAGTTGAGTTGCCCTAAATCCAGCCCTGCCCCCAACCCACCAGTTGCAGGAAGGAGGGAGTGGAGGGCTGGGCAAGAGTGGCAAAGCACTCAATTAAGTGTTTTAAATTTGTTGTTAGCCACCGTGAGCCTGATTTCCTGAACAGGGAAGGGCGGGGTATAAATAAAAAAATATTATTAATATTATAAAGACTTAATGGTGCTGCTGGTGGTGGTGAATTGGTGTGTGTGTGTTTGTGCCCCTCATTGTCTCCAGTGTGCGCAGGTCGAGGGTGTGACTGGGGTCTTGAGAAGGGGGATCAGTGGGGTGGGGAGGTGCAGCAGAGGTTGGGGGCAATCATAGGTAGACCTTGACTGTGCAGAAAACCCTGCCTAGTGGGTAAGAGCAAACTCAGCTTCCTGTTTCTCGATTGGCAAGATGGAGATTTTTTAAAAGAACATCTGGATTTTTAAGATCCACATCCAAAAAACACACACACACACCCCCCAATAAGAAAGGAGGACCTCAGGTCTGTGACTTTCTGCCTCTTCCCTCCACCCCCTCCAGGATGGACTAGGAGAAGGATAGTCCAGATTGTGACTGTGCAGGAGGGGTGAGAGGTGGCGACGATTATTTTGGAGTCTCTTTGACTCCTGTTCTGTGCACTCAGATCTTATCTGGCAGGATTTCAGGGGTCAGAATCTCATACACACACCATGATTCTGGGTTCTCCTGCATTTCCATGACATGCATCTTTCTATCTGTTTGACAAATATATATATTAAACCTGTTAATTGTGTATTCAATTATAGTAATGATATTGTGACCACTTTAACAATGTGGAAATCTAATAACAATAACAATTTTATTATTTATACCCCGCCCGTCTGGCTGGGTTTCCCCAGCCACTCTGTGCAGCTTCCAACAGAATATTAAAAACACAATGAAACTTCAAACGTTAAAAACTTCCCTAAACAGGGCTGCCTTCAGATGTCTTCTAAAAGTCAGGTAGTTGTTTATTTCCTAGACATCTGATGGGAGGGCGTTCCACAGGGAGGAAGCCACCACTGAGAAGGCCCTCTGCCTGGTTCCCTGTAACTTGGCTTCTCACAGTGAGGGAACCGTCAGAAGGCCCTTGGAGGTGGACCTCAGTGTCCAGGCAGAACAATGGGGGTGGAGACGCTCCTTCAGGTATACTGGACTGAGTCCATTTAGGACTTTAAAGGTCAGCACCAATGCTTTGAATTGTGCTCAGAAACATACTGGGAGCCAATGTAGGTCTTTCAGGACCGGTGTTATATGGTCTTGGCGGCCACTCCCAGTCACCAGTCTAGCTGCTGCATTCTGGGTTAGTTGTAGTTTCTGGGTCACCTTCAAAGGTAGCCGCATGTAGAAGGCATTGCAATAGTCCAAGCGGGAGATAACCAGAGCATGCACCACTCTGGCGAGACAGTCTGCCGGCAGGTAGGGTCTCATCCTGAGTACCAGGTGGAGCTGGTAGACAGCTGCCCTGGACACAGAATTGACATGCGCCTCCATGGAGAGCTGTGAGTCCAAAATGATTCCCAGGCTGCACACTTGGTCCTTTAGGGGCACAGTTGCCCCATTCAGGACCAGGGAGTCCCTTGCACCTGCATGTCCCTTGTCTCCCTCCCAACCCCCAACCCCAATTCTTCTGTCTTGTTAGGATTCAACCTGAATATATTAGCTACCATCCATCTTACAACCACCTCCAGACACTCAAACAGGACATTCACCACCTTCACTGGTGCATGGCCCACAGGTTCTGTGTTGAAGTTCTCTTGAAGCCCACTTGGTCTGAGAGGGTGGACTGCCATGGGCTACTTGGTATTTCTGGATAGGGCTCTTTTTCTCATGCAGCAATTGCTGTCCCATCACCCAGTGCTGAAACAACAACCTGCTGCCTCTTTAATTTGACCCAAGTAATTGCATGGCCTCTGTGTGTGCCGACTTTGGGCAGACTGAAATAAAAATATACAAAACCTCATGGGTATTATTAACCACAATCTTCGTACACCTCCATCAGGCAATGGCAACATTCTTCAAAGGGTTATTTTACCAAATGTTATTGAGACAAATAACACAGTACATAGCATGGTGCCCAACATACACACTCGTGAGATCTAGAGCAGGGACCAGATATGATACAATGACCAGCTTATTAATGCACAGTTGGTTTCTGTGGTCCTGCAGCACCTTGAGCTGGGCTGGGAGGTCCAGATACTTGGCTTTCTACACTTCGGCTATGAGAAAATATTGGTAAGGGGCAGCCACAGAATTAAATCTATACCCAGAACTCTTTGAAGATCACTCCCACCATTGCAGTGTGAGTGTGGTGTCTGACATCAAAGCCAGAGGTCTCCAGCACAGGTTTCTGAACAGCTTCCACCCTTGTAATAGCAAGTAGATAGGGGCCAAGTGTTGACTGGACTGTGGCCAAAAGAGGATCTCTGTGAGCTACATGAGGAGGGAGGCATTTCCAGGCCTGGAGGAACCCCAAAGTTTGCAGACATACGAAAACCTGAAAGCAAAAGACTTAATGGGACACCTTCTCCCCCCAAAAAGAGAATCAACCAAATGAGGATTATAGAGTGAACATGCCAAAAGGAAAATGGAGAACAGGGTGAGGAGGTGGTGTGTGTGTGTGTGTGTGTGTGTGTGTGTGTGTGTGTGTAAGTGTAAGTGTAACATTCTGATTGGAATCTAGAACTGCAACATGTTGCTGCAGGACACATTAATTCCACCCCCCCCCCAAGTACTTCAAACAGCAGAGGGTGGAATCTGGAACTTAAAAAAGAGAGGCTTTGAGCATTCTAGAGTTCAGCCGCAGACAGGTCCAAGAACGGCTCTTGATATGAGAGATCTGAAAAGCTGAAGGCCAACGTGCAGACAATAGTTTGGGGAGAAATGGATCCTTGGTTTAGGAACATGGGAAGCTGCCTTTGCTCCATCTAGCCCAGTGTTCTCTACACAGACTGGCAGCAACTCTCCAGGATTTTAGGCAGGGTGTCTTTCCCCCCAGCCCTATCTGGAGATGCATTCAGGTATTGAAGCTGGGACCTTCTACATGTGAAGCAGGTGTTCTACCACTGAGACATGGCTTTGCCCAAGTGCTGCATACTGCTGACTCAGACCATTGGTCCTTCTAGCTGAGGACGGTCTACACTGGCTGGAAGCAGCTCTCCTGGGTTTCAGGGAGGGGACGTTCCCAGGTCTACTTGGAGATGCTATTGTGGGTTTAACCTGGGGCATTCTACATGCAAAACAGGTGTTCTGTCCCTGAGCTAGGACCCTTTCCTCCACCATATTTATGTGGAAACAAACCCTGTTGCATCCATCCCTTTCCCATAAGCAGAAACCCATCTTCATTCCAGTCCCAGTTCATGAACTGCATCATTCAGGATGATCAATCAGCGGCAGCATCACCTTCCTCTTAGTTTTGTTTAAAACTGGAATGTAGGAGTGCTAGTTTTGCTTTCATATTTACTTTGATACACCATGAGCACAAGGTCAGAATTGCTAGCATAGTCAAGAGTCCACTGCCCTCTTACGCAGAGCAGCCCAAAGGGAAGTCTATTGTGACACCTAAGGAGAGATTCAGGTCTAGCAGTTGGATGACAGATGCTATCCTGAGCATGATGTCGCATCCATTCATAGATGGTCTCTCTCTTTCTTAAAAACAGCCATGGATGGGCTTACTAAAACATTTATGGGATGTAAGTCTGAATATTTATTTATTGCCGTCTTGTCCATCTCAAAAGCAGAGTCTTCCTTTTAGCCATGTAATTGCATGTTAGAATGGTTCTGGTTACATGTTGCTGCTGCCCACAATGGCTTCCATTTTAGGAGAAGAGTGGTGGGCAATCTTTCAATCTCTGCCAATCTGCCCAATTTTTGGGTGGATATCTCAAGACTCCACCCCCCTCTTTGCTTTCTTTTGAGGCAGGTGGAAAACTCCATTGTATGGACTGATCTTTTGGAGAATAGTTTGCTCCATAGTTTAGAAAGCCTTGGATCATTCTCCCTTCCAGGGTTCAGCTTCAGCAAGATATTCTCAAGCCACTTTGGAGTGAGGGCTTCCGGCCATTTCAGAGCGAGGACTTCTAGTAAATTTGGAGTGAGGGCTTGTAGCAGAAAATAAGGTTTCACAATAAAAGGAAAGAAAGGGAATTTTGCCTGTGAAATATTCTCTTCTCTTCTGTGCCAAAAAACAAAAACAAAACGTAGCCTTGGCAAGTCCCAAGTGGTGCTCAGAGGGTTTGGCACATCATTTGGTTTTTGGCCCCTGCAAAGGTGATGTTTCTTGACAAAATCCCTCTTGCTGGATGCTGCTGTGAAACAGAATTATATTTATAAATCAGATGGCATATTGGGGCTCTCCCACAGAAGAGAGGACAAACTTCTTCCCCTCTACTAGATTAAAGGATCTACCCTAGATTGAGGGTAGATCTCAGTGGGACATGAAGAGAAACGTATTGATGGTAGGACCAGTTTGACAATGGGAGCAACTATCTAGAGCTGCTGGAGCTCTCCCTTGTTGAAGATCTTGAAGGAGAGGCTGGTGCATGACTAGAATCACACACAAACATATTTGTGTGCATATATTTGTGCAAAAAAACACCACCGTTTGATTTTATGGACCTTACCAGGCCTATGTGACTTCTTCAGAAGAATTGTCCGGGGTCCTTCGGATCTGGTCGTAAATAGTCGTGACAAGCCGTTCTTTCTGTGGGCTTCTGTCCGCATTATTTTCCCGGAGACCTAGGGACTAAATGCAAATAAGGAAGAAGTTTGTTTTAAAATTATGATGCCCTCCAACACTTGGGAACATAGGAAGCTGTCACATACTGAATCAGACCATTGGTCCATCACACAGAGTCAATTAGGGTCTGGCCGACAGCCAATGTAAAGGAGTGTAATCTGCCTGGTGATACAGAGACATAGAGACAGCTCCATGATCGGTCAAGCTCTCATGGGAATAATGATTTATGGCCTACTAACTGGAATGTGTTAGTTAGAGTGGCGAGTGCAGGAGTTGGAGGTTGAGAATTGTGAGTCGTGTAAGAGAGAGCTAGTTAAAGATCCGTGTTCTGTTCTGTTCCTGTAAATAGTCCACTGTATATAATAAACTACAAGTTACTGGTTCCTGCTTTGTCCATCCTGTCTGCAGCCAGTTGCCATTTGCTTCCATGGACTCTGCGTTTACTCTCCTAGGTCTGGCTAAGGTCCTGCAACAAGTCAGAAAGTTGCGAAACACCAATAGTCTCTCCCAACGCTATCTGGAGATGATGGGAACTGAACCAGAGACCTTCTGCTTGCAGGACAGAAGCTCTACCACTGAGCTATGGCCCTTTCCTTAATCTGAGCTCAATTTGTGTAGCTGTGGAGAGATGTCTAGCGGCTGGGCTCAAATGTCCTCTTCTGTCACGGAGCCAGCTGAGCCAGCTCCTGAGTTGGATGAGGAGGAGCGAGAGGGGCTGGCAGAAGAGGAAGCACTGGAAGGTGTGGGAGATCAAAGGGAGGTGGAGGCAGGACTCCCTGATGTTGGGGAGCCCCAGCACCACTCCAGCTCTGGCACAGAGGGAAAGGGCACACCACAGGACAGGAGGAGGTTAAAGCGTAGGGAACAATGCAGACGTATGAGATTACCAAGACTGCTCTGCTGGAGGCAGAGCTGAAAGTCCCCACTCCCGGGATCTGTTGCCGATGATTCAGATGTGTGAAGAGATACTCTGTACTTTGTAAATACTTGTACAATAAAGACTGTAAATACCACTACCATCAAGCCGAGGGATTTATTGTGAAGGGCAAACCTCCCCCCTTTACATCTTCATAGGCCAGTAGCTAAAGAAGGACCTGTGAGGTCCTGCAGTGGTATATTCTGAAGTTCAGCAGACCCCCATAGCCAAGCCTTCAAGGAAGAGTCCATAGCCAAGCTTTTGAGGAAATAATTCCTCTTTCTGCAAAACAGGTCTAGGCTGACCTGGGCTTCCACCCAGCAGAGGAGAGGCCCAGTGGGGGGCCTCAGGACAGTCTCACCTTATTGTTACCTTCTGGGGGGCTCCTCCGAAGGATCTCTGCATACTGGGGATCAGATGGGCTCTCCTCCACTTGCACAGTTGGAATGGTAACTTGGAAGAAGAAAGAGATCGAGAGAGATCTGTGAGAGAGAGATCCTACATTGCTTTAGGAGCTGTTTCAGCCTGAGGGCCACAATCCCATCTGAGCAACCTTCTGAGGGCCACATGCCAGTGGTGGGTGGGGCCATAGGGAAAGTGGGTGGAACAACCAATGTAAATGCTGCCTTAGGCTACTTTCTGCACAGACTCACAACCCAGTCTCTATCCTCTACCCAGGCAAGAAAGAGGCTTTATCTGATTCCAGCCAGGCAAAAATACTGTATTTGACCTGGGAGGAGTTCTGAGGTTAGACAGAGAGGCCTGGAGGGCCACACTTAACTCCTCCACAGGTCGCAGGCTCCTCACCCTTCCATTTAAACATAAATATTATCTAATCTGGTTGCTCCCCTGTGACAGTAACAACAGCCCAGTTTGCAGTTATTAAGCATGGGGAAGTTTTTGTCAGTGGGGAGAAACACTTTTGAGGAAAGTTTGCACAGGCAAAATCTTTCTGCACCAAGGAGTTCCTAAAGGCACAGAGATTTTCAGAAAAGATGATGGCTCTTGCATTTAGCTTGCACTCCTTTTAATTTCTTTATTCAGTTAAGTTTTATCCAGCTCTTCAGTCCAAAAGCCTCCCAAGAGCAGCTTCCAGTCCCACAGAAACACAACAGTCCCTGCTCTTGAGACTTACAGTCTAAAACAGACATGGCTCAAAAGGAAAGGAGATTGGGAGGGAAGAGAAAATAAGCAAACTCGGGTAAAATTACTTAACTCCAAGTTGTTCTGACGACCAGCAGGGGTTGAAGTGTTCTGTGACTCGTGAGTTTCTTTAAGTGTGACATAATTAGGGTTGTAGGGGAAGGACTGGAATATTCCAAACAAATGTTTGGCTCACCAGCTTCTGCCGATTTTTCATTATTGATCCTCCAGCACCAGAAGGCAGCCCCAAGACTCAGCACTAGCAGGACGAAGGTCAGGACGACGTAGCCTGACTTGGAGAAAGACGCCTCAGCTGTTGGGATTGAGAAGGGTGCAGAAGGTCGGAGCCAGCTTGCAAGATCGACTATACACACACAATTCAAGCAGACAAACACCTGCTGCTGCTTTTTGTGTCGTTCCTGGTAGCTCACAGGAAGAAACAAGTGTGTAGATCACACAGCAATACAGCAGCAGCTGTTGAGCATTATCCGGGTGCTCACAACAAGTACACAAAAATAGCAGGACTCTCGAATGTCAGGCAGAGGTTTTGGAGAAACAGAAAGGGAAAGAGAGAGAGAGAGAAAAAAAACAGATCGACAGAGGGATATCTGATAGTTTTATAGACCACACACAAGCTACAGAGAAACTAGGAGAGAAAGAGTAATTGCAAGGAGAGATGAAATTACATAGAAAGGTAAAGAAACAAGCTGGGGTTAGGAACTCCAATGGTGAATCAGGAAATAGAAAGGGAGAAGTCTAAGGGTCAGGGAAGCCAGGAAATCTGTCTTCCTGGCTTTGCATGATTTTGCCTCTGCACACAGACCGCTGGAACATTGTTACAGGGAAATTGGATGGGAGAGGCTGAGACACACACACACACACACACACACACACACACACACACACTCTGAGCCTTGCCTCACCATGAAGCAAGGACAGCGGGTCGGTGCTGCACATTACCAGAACCTCATTCATTTAGGTTCAAAACTCCGTTCACAAAAGTGCCTGACTAATCAGAAACTCCAGAGGGAGTTTCTGAGTGGGAGGGTGGGGGGAGGAAGGAAAAATGGGAGGGAAATAAGGATGATATGTTTCTGGATAATATGTTTTGTTTTAATTTTGAATAAAAAAGTATTTTTTAAAAAAGCTTTGGGCCTGCTGTACTGTAAAATGACCAAAGCCTGAAGTATTAAGGAAAGTATGGACAACGATTTCCCAAGTGTAATTTGGTGAAGTTGTGACAAGCCCCCTCCAGCAGTAGCCCCAGGGGAAACATGACCAAAACCAAAATAACATTGTGTGTGGCATTAAAACATCCAAACTACACAACAAGGCCACAGATCAGGGTACCTGGCTCTTTTTGGAGTACAACTCCCATCATTCCTAGCAGGACCACTGGTCAGGGATAATGGGAATTGTAGTCTAAAAAGTTTGGGAAACATTACCATATAGATAATTAAAAGCCAAAGGCCTGATGGAAAAGGATTGTTTTTGCCTGGCACTAAAGACATGCAATGATGGTGCCAGGCCAGAGCCTCCCTGGGGAGAGGAACTTATAACTTGCTTTGTGTGGATGATAAAGCTGGAAAAGCAAGAGAATTATTTTGAAAAGTGTTCCGTGTGGGGGGTAATTCCTTTTTTAAAAACAAAAACATCTGTACCTCCACTCTGGCAGATCCTCTGCAAGTCAAAGGACACGATCTTGTGCTCAATGGGGTTGCTGGCCGTGCAGGAATAGGTGGTGTTCAGGGAGGCAGGCAGCAGCGAGAGGCGGAGAGTCTTGCCATCGGGGGAGACCTGGTATCTGTCGGAGCTCCCCAGATCCCGGATCGGGTTTCCTTTCCTCCAAGTGACGTTGACCTGCTCCTTTCCCGGAGAGAGACACTGGAGCGTCACATTGCACCACTTGGACGTGCTGGAGACCAGCTGACTCTGTATCCGCGGAGTAGAGACGGGTTCTGGGTGCCAGTGATGAGGAAAGAGGGAAAATGATATGTGGTGGATGTCAGCCAACATGAAATTTGAACAGATGTCACAAAGTCAGAGGAATTGGGAGCCAGGGGCTCCCTCTTGCCTCCCAACAGGATATTATATTTCTGCTTGAAACTGACTTCTCACACTGCTACACTCTGCTTCTAAGCACAGTAAAACTGCAGACTCCTGCATTTCAGAAATCCCAGCCACGAGTTTGCAATGGCTTTAATAAATCCAGTATCCAAAGCACAATGGAGGAGGGGAATTAGCTCTCCCATTTCCTCCCAACCCCTAAATATTTCTTAGTAATGAGCTGCGGATAATGTTGGTTCTGCTAAAAGACCAGATGAAATTAACACATTTGCCTTTTTAATTTTGTGCATGGATGTTAATTTTCATAGGGATATAAGATCCCAATTTGTCTCCACAGTGCTTCCCACACACTTGTGGAAACTCAGATGAATTTTATGATTCTGTTTTAATGGCAGATCCTAAGATTACTGAATTTCAGTAATCCAAAGCTTACTGAAAATACAGCCAAGATCCTTTCCATAGCCATCAAAACTAGGCCACAACTGTTAAAGGAAATTTGAATGCAGTCGAAAGTGTCTGCATTTTTTTGAACGACATTTGATTGCTCATCAACCCTGCTTTACTTAAAAATACATAATGTGTGGGTGCATAAATATATATACATACATATATTCTACTGTGGTTGTCTTGAATATTGAGGGGGGAAACTATCAAATTCTCACTTTCCCAATCTTAATTTCAGTTCTACACATCAGTTTAAAAAATCGTAACAGCATTTTAGTGTGAATTTCTCCTAATATACACATTTTTACCTAAAATGCATTTTGTGTGTTACTGTAACTAATATTAGCATTTTTTAAAAAAGGAAAACCTACCCCAACCTAGGCATTTTTGTCCATATTACTTGGTTAAAGAACTGCATTGCAAAATTCAGAAAAGGGCAGATTTTGAAGGATGGCTGTGTTTTGGCACTCATTTCTTTCGGAAATTCTGCATTAATGTGAACAGATCCCTTGCCTGGATAACCCTATCCTGTATCTGAAGTTTATGTACTGTTGACTGAATAAACAAAAGTATACTTTTCCTGGTAAAACAGGGAGAGAGATGGCAATTTCCTTGGGCTAAAAATTGAAATTCTGCTGATTATTTTATTTTTAATATGCATGAGTGGACATGACTAACTCAGGCTCATTAATTTCCATGAGTCAACATAGAGTATAACTTAGTTGGATACATACAACCTAATAACCCACCATAGACCATGAGGCGGAAGATCTGATCTTCAACGATAGCTGGGAATAACTTCACTCGAGCCCCAAAGACACCGCTGTCATTCAGCTCCAATGCCTTGATCCTGAGCGTCTCATTGTACATTTCTATCCTCTGCTTAAACCGGTCACCAGGATCAGGCCGTTCGAATTTCCCATCCCGAAACAAAGCCACCAGCAGCGCTGGGCCAGATCCAGCCCGGTAGCTCCACTCGATCTCCTTCAGTTTGGCTTGTGGACCAATGTTCACAGAGAGGGCCACCGAACCTCCCAGGACCCCGTTCACCTGGCGAGGAGGGGTGTGTGACTGGCCGGTGATGAGATCTGAGGATGATACAGAAAGGGAATGGAAAAGTAATAATCAGAGAAAAGAGATTTGTGCACAAAACATAGGGATTTGTGGGGCAGAATTATTTTTCTTCCTAGCCCTAGGCTTAGAGTGTTGGAAGACATAGCACAGTCTAAAAGAAAGTACTTTTTTATGCAGCATGTTAAACTACAGTGGTACCTAGGGTTACAGAAGCTTCAGGTTACAGACGCTTCGGGTTACAAACTCTGCTAACTAGGAAGTGGTTGCTCCAGGTTAAGAACATTGTCCCAGGATAAGAATGGAAATTGTGCACCAGCGGCAGCAGGAGGCCCCATTAGCAAAAGCACGCCTCAGGTTAAGAACCGTTTCAGGTTAAGAACGGACCTCTGGAACGAATTAAGTTCTTAACCCGAGGTACCACTGTACAGGTTTTGCTCCCTCAAGAGGTAGGTCACCAACCTGATTGAAAACTGAGTCTCCAATGTTGTGATAATACTCACAACCATGATATTTTAGGCAACAATCCAGCTAGCTGACTCTGCAGAGCTAGCAGAGTGGACCCAACCACTTTTTTTTACTCAGTAGAAGAATTTCCCACTGAACAATCTGTTAAGTTGGATATGTGTGTTATTAATATCTGTGTTTTATGTTTATAGTAGTAGTAGGGGCTGCCACTCTGCTTACTCCATTTGCCAACCCTTCCATGACACCTACGTAGTCAACTCCTACTCCCTTTACGTCTGACCAATTCTCCCTCCCTTTAGACCCCACCTGCCCCCTCACTTATCGCCTCACATCTCACCCCAAACTCCCCTCTCCATAGAGTTTACCCCACCACCCTCTCCTCCCATCTCACCCCAAACACCAACCCTTTTTAAAGGAGGAGGAGAGCAACTTCAGAGAGTGGTTTGACATACTGCCTTCTGAATTGCCTTCCCCCTTCATGGCAGCCATATTTAATGCCGGGGGGGGAGGTGCTTCAGGGAGCAGTTAGACAATTGAGCAGTTGAAGACCTCCTTTCTGTTAAACAGCTCACATGGCTACACTGCTTGCTTGCTTGCTCGCCTGCCTGCTGCTCTGTCATGAAGCTGGAGTTGGTGTGGCCCCCTATCAGCAACCACGTGAACTTCAGCATGATGACAACCTTACATTTTTATGTATATAGGAAGGAAATATCATCCATAGCAAAAACCACCTAAAGCCTGTGGGCAATCTGATATTTTCCTTTTAAGCATTAAGTCATAAAGTCCACCATCTGGAGACTTCGTTGAACATGTGTTCACATACAGCTTTTTGCACACTTCAGGGAAAGTGTTATTTAAAGTCTATTTATCTGCCCGAAGATCAGATTCTTAACCAATCTTGTCTTGTTCTGGGAATAAGTTAAAACACACATGGGCACAGTGGATGTGAAGATGAAGTTAGGCCACAGGGTGTCACTGTTTCAAGAATCTGGGCAAGGCTTTAGGTACACATGAGCATGTGGCTGTGAAGAGGAGGGCACTCCCCTAGGGGGCACTGTGTAAAAAATATCCAGACAAGGTCCTAGAAGGACAGGAAATGGGATGACCCACTGGCAAATTCTGAAGAAGACCTGGATCTACTCATAAGATTACCCCCCCCCCATTCTACTCCTTCATCTATTCAGGCAATAATTATTGAACCTAAGAATGTTGACTGTGCTGTTAAGGGCTCATTCACCTGCACACCAGTCAAGCCATCTTTGGCTAGCATTGATTGCCAGTCTGTGTTGACCAGACATTCCACCTATGCAAGAGAAAAAACAGGCAGAATTCAGACCTCAGAATGAAAATATAGGCACATCAGTGGGGGACCCTTAGCTCTCTACAGGTGGGTCTCTATTGCATACTGAAGAGATCGATATGAGTTGGACACATTTCCATACTGAAATACAGCTATTGGCTCCATCATTGTACACCGGTGTTGCTTGGGTCCTGAACAATATGAGCTCTGGGTCGTTCCACTTGTCACAGGGGGAGCAGTTAAGAAATCCCAGAGCCAGCCTTTTACAGTGTTGCACCATGATCCCATGCAAGTTTCCTGAGAAATAACTCCCAATGAATTCAGCAGGGCTTAGCTTCTAGGAAAAAAAATGTGCAGGTTGGGGAAGGAATTTGATGTTTGCAAATTACATTAAAAGAGCCTGGGTGCTGGAACAGGCCAAAGGGGACCCATCTAATCCAGCCTCATGCTCCCACAATGGCCAAATGCTCCCCCCAAAAAACCTAGGAATCTAGATAAACTGCCTCTGGATCTGGAGGGTCCATAGGAACATAGGAAGAACCCGCTGCTGGATCAGGCCAAAGGGGGCCCATTTAGTTCAGTATCCTGGTCTCACATTGGCCAACCAGATGTCTCAATGGGAAACTAACCAAAGCAGGATTCGAACACAAGAGCCCTCTCCTCTCCTGTGGTTTCCAGCAACTGGAGTTCAGAAGCGTTGCTTCTTCTGACTATGGAGGAAGAACATGACCACTGTGGCTAGCAGCCACTGGCCTTCTTATCTCTCAGTTCCTATTTATAGCCATCCAGGCTGATGCCCATCATTACACTGTGAATTTCATAGTTTAACTATGCATTGTGTGAAGAGGTCATTTCCTTTGTCTGTCTGTCCTGAATCTCCCATATTTCAGCTTCCCTGGATGGCTCCGTTGGGTTTTGGTATCATGGGAGAGGGACATATTTCCTCTCAAGCTACTTTATGGTGGATAAATCTTCTATCATGTCCCCACTTAACTGACTTTCTTCCAAACTAGTAAAGATAAAGGGACCCCTGACCATTAGGTCCAGTCACGGATGACTCTGGGGTTGCGGCGCTCATCTCGCTTTATTGGCTGAGGGAGCCAGCGTACAGCTTCCGGGTCATGTGGCCATCATGACTAAGCCACTTCTGGCGAACCAGAACAGTGCACGGAAATGCCATTTACCTTCCCACTGGAGCGGTACCTATTTATCTACTTGCACTTTGATGTGCTTTCGAACTGCTAGGTTGGCAGGAGCAGGGACTGAGCAACGGGAGCTCACCCCGTCACGGGGATTCGAACCGCCGACCTTCTGATCGGCTCTGTGGTTTACCGGTAACCCACAGCGCCACCCACATCCCTTTCTTCCAAACTAACCCCCACCCACCTCCAAAATTGCAACTTTTCTTCAGAGGGGAAGTACGGTATTTCAGGCATTAGATCATTGTGCCTGCTGGTCCATCATGATCTGATCTGCCCCTTCTGGATGAATATCTGCAGGTTGCGTCTTAGCTATGCATCCTATTTCACACTTTTCTGAATGCTGCAACGCAGATCTCGGCCCAAGGAACATATCAAAAGTACATTTAACAGTGCATATTTTGGAGATGCACATTTAGAAACACACATTTTGACAGGCAATGTTTATTTTAAGGGGAATGTGCTTTAAAAGATTTTACCTCTAAAGAGACCGCAGTCTCCACTGACCTACATTCCAAGGAAACCAAACCTGGGTAAATGCAACAAAATGGTTCTATTCAAACACATATATATTGTTGTAGATTTGGGGGGATCCCCCTGACCCCTAGAAATTAATGAATGCAAGGATTGTGGTTATTTGGGGTGGCAAGAGAGAAATATAAGCTGCAGAGGAATTCCTGGGTAGCCTGGCCAAGCTAGGGCAATTAAGGGAGCAATAGAGGGTCATTAAGGGTCCTTTGAGGACCATTGCCAATGCAAGAGAACTCCTTCCCCCTTGCCCTGAGGTGTGAACAAAGATGGGGGTTTGAAGGGTTGCCAAGGTGAGGGTGGGTGTGTTTGATGGGACAGGAAATGGGAGTTTTCAAGGTAGGGTTGCTGGGAGGGAGAAGTTGGGAAAAGAGCTGAAATCCATCTTGGGCAGGCTGGCTGAAGGCTACCTGTGCTGCTGTGGGGTACTAGCACCTCTCGAAAGGACTATGCTGTAAGATTTGGACTCCCTTCATGCAGACTGAATGTGTAAATAGGTGAATGAACCATATTTCTTAAAGCCACAGCAGTTTCCACCCTGCCTTCGATTCTCTAAAGGAGCACAGACCCTGTGTGAGTGCCTGGGACCCTGTGGGCTCTTGCCACCGCTCATCAGAGAGAGGGGCAGGTGCCCGACATTCCCAGGTGGTCTCCCATCCAAGTACTAACCAGACCTGCTCCTGCTTAGCTTCTGAGACCAGACAGGATTGGGGGATGTTCAGGGTAGTGTAACAACCTGAGCATAAGACAAATCTTGCTTCCCCATTAGGTTTTCAGGTGAGCCCCAAAACCCAGCACTAGAGCCAACGTCTCTTTGTATCTCCAGCTTCCAGCTTGCTTCTAGCTCAGACCACACACCCCACTCTCAGGCTATTGTTCTCCTAGCAAGCAGCCAGGTGAGAGGGTGAAGGAAAGGCCCATCCATCAGCATGGAGGCTACCACCACTTGGGGCTCAACTATACTTTCCTTTGTCCCAATGACAATCAATCAGTCAGGATTTCTGCAGATTTACATTTGTTCCAATTCAGCAGTAAACGGCAGGTTTTCCCAGAGAAAGTGGCAGGGACAAGAGAAAAACTTCTCCAACCTGTGCCTAGAAATCATGAGATGAACAGAAGCCCTTAGTTGTAGCTCTTGCAACCTATCTCATTCTTTTGGGATACTGGTGAGGTCATTGTCTACATTGTCCAGCTAAGGCCATTGTCTTACAAAGAAATTCGTCTGACTAGTTCAGCAGAAGAGTTCTCTGTTAGAATTGGAAGGGCCTCAGGGCATCATCCAGGCTGTTTGTGATGGCCTGGGATTCCGATTCGGAGGATGAAACAGAGGAATCCCAGCCTGCACAGGAGTCCCCGCCTCCAGGGCCGGCTGAACTGGGGCAAGGCCTAGATGCTGAAGAGCCTGCACCTGTGGCAGTGCATCAGGAGCTGGCCCCAGGTGAAGCCCTTCTGGCCCCAGAGGGGCTTGATGACTCAGTGGCCACAGGTGAGCCTCCTCCAGGGCCCAGTAACCCTTCGGCCTCTCCTGATCTGCAGAGGCTTAGGGCAGAGAGGCGAAGGGAACTGGTTGCCCCCAGGAGGAGTGCTCGCCTTAAGGCCAGAGGAGGCGGGGCTCCTGGGGACCGGGACCGCCCCTGGCCTTAGAAGAGGATAAAAGCCCAGTCAGCCCGGCCCCAGGTTGCGGGAGCAACGTCGTTGTTGGCTTCGGACCTTCCTGTGCTCCTGTTCCCTGCTCGGCTTCCTGTTCCTGACTATCCGGTACTCCTGTTCCCTGCTCGGCTTCCTGTTCCTGACTATCCGGTACTCCTGTTCCCTGCTCGGCCTCCTGTTCCCGACCATCCGGTGTTCCTGTTCCCTGCACAGCCTCCTGTTCCAGCATTCCTGTTCCCCGCCCGGCTCTCTGCCTCGGACCTTGCCCCTCTTCGTGTGGACTCTGCTACACCCAAGGTACCTTACCCCGGGACCAGCACAGTTTGCTCCCGCCACACCCGCACTTCCCCTTCGTAGGGGTGCGTTCGGGAAGAGCCAGAGGCCATGGCTGAACAGGCGGCTGCACTGGTGGCTTTGGCCCAGGAGAACCAGGCCTTGAATCACACCGTGCAGCAGCTCAGCGACGCGGTTGTGGCACTTCAGCAACGCTTGGAAGCCCTACCGGCTCCTGGGGCCGACGCCCGGCTCCGGGCAAGTACCCAGTGGCTTTGCCTGAGAAATTTGATGGAGCCCCGGCCAGCTTTCCCATGTTCCTGGCCCAGGCCAAGCTGTATATTCAGGGGCGAGCCCGGAACTTTCCTGACGACCGCACCAAGGTGCACTTTTTGATTAGTTTGTTAAAGGACCAGGCGGCCAAGTGGGCGTTGCCGTTACTCAGGCAAGACTCCCCCTTGCTGGCAGACTATACGGGGTTTTGCAATCGTTTGGAGGCCGCGTTCGGCAACCCCCAGAAAGAGAGTCAAGCCAACCGGGCGATTCGGCGTTTGAAACAGGGCAAGTCCACGGTGGCCACATATACCACGGAGTTTCGGCTGTTGGCACAGGACTTGACCTGGAATGACTCGGCACTGCGGGACCAGTATCTCGAAGGGCTTTCGGACGAGGTACTGGACCAGTTGGCCACAATGGAACGCCCCACCACGCTGGACACTCTCATTCAACGGAGTCTACAAATAGACGACCGGTTGGAGGATCGTCGTCAGGCCCGGGGTCGCCGACACTTCCAGTTCACGGCACCAGCTTTTCCGGCAGCCCCACGGTCACAACTGATTTAACGGAGGAGCCTATGCAGCTCGGGGCAGTGCGGCCACGCCTTTCCCCCGCAGAGAAGGCGCGGCGTCGGGAGGAAATCTCTGTCTTTACTGTGGCGGAAGTGGACACTTCGCTCGGTCCTGCCCTGAGAAACGCCAGCCGCAGAGACCGCCAACCCCAGTAGCTGATGGCCCTAGCTACTGGGGTCCCAAACCGTACAGAATGGGCCCGCACCAATGGACTTGCAACATCTTATGGTTTCAGTACGTTTATACCCTCCAGGTGGGCCCTGGATCCTCACCCATGCTTTGGTAGATTCAGGGGCAACCCGCTCCTATATGGACGCTGCTTTTGCCGCCCATCATCAGGTGCCACTTGGAACAAGCCAGTACCGGTCCAGGTGGAAGCGATTGACGGACGACTTCTGCGTTCAGGTGCCGTTACTCAGGAGACCCAGCCCTTGGTCCTGTGTCTCCAGCAGCACCGGGAGTTGCGGACTTTGGACATTGCCTCTATGCCCGCTTCCCCCTGGTGCTCGGGATGGACTGGCTGGAAGCCCACAGCGTTCAGATTGACTGGGTCAAACGGACCGTGCACTTCCCAGACCCATGTTCCCATGCTCAATCCGGAGCAGCTGGCGGCCGCGCCCTCAGAGGAGGCAGCACCCACGCTCCCAGCCGTGTACCAGGACTACCAGGACGTGTTCGAGGACCGGGGGGCAGACCAGCTGCCGCCACATCGGCCTTTTGACTGCGGCATAGACCTCCAACCCGGAGCGCCTTTACCAGTGAGTCGCTTATATTCCCTAACAGAGCCAGAGCGCGAGGCTTTGCAGGACTTCTTGCGCAAGAACCTGGAGCGTGGGTTCATTAGGCCTTCCACCTCGCCTACCGCGGCACCAGTGCTTTTCGTTAAGAAGAAATGTGGGGAACTCCGCCCTTGCCATGATTACCGAGCCCTGAACAAAATTACCGTCCCAGACCGGTACCCCTTGCCCCTTATCTCGGAACTGCTGGAGCGGGTGCAAGGGGCACAGGTGTTCACCAAGCTGGACCTCCGGGGGGCCTACAACTTGATTCGGATCCGAGCCGGGGATGAGTGGAAGACAGCGTTTGGGACCCGGTACGGGCAGTTCGAATATTTGGTTATGCCTTTCGGTTTGTGCAACGCGCCTGCTGTGTTTCAACGCTACATCAACCACGTGTTTCAGGACTTGTTAGACAAGTACGTGGTGGTGTATTTGGATGACATACTGATTTACTCCCGTGACCCGGCTTGCCATGAGGGACATGTCCGGACCGTGCTGCAGCGCTTGCGTGAGCACCGTTTGTACGCAAAGCTCAGCAAGTGCGAGTTCCATCAGCGGACTGTGGACTTCCTTGGTCACCGGCTCTCTCCAGATGGGGTGCAAATGGACCCGGGGAAGGTGACAGCGGTTCAAGAATGGGCGGCACCCCGGAACCGCAAGGACCTGCAGCGTTTCCTGGGGTTCGCCAATTACTACCGGACCTTCATCGCTGATTATGCTCATCGCACCACCCCGTTGACCCGGCTACTGCGCCCAAAGACGCCGTTTTCCTGGGACAAGGAGGCAGAGGAGGCGTTTCAGGGGTTGAAGGCCTGTTTCCAGAGGGCACCAATCTTACAACATCCTGACCCCTCTCGACCCTTTGTGGTGGAGACCGGCGCTTCCAGTACGGCTCTCGGTGCCGTCTTGTCTCAACAGATTGGTCCTGAAGCGCCACTCTTACCCTGTGCCTTCTATTCTCGCCAGCTCCTACCAGCGGAGCGTAACTATACTGTGTGGGAGCGGGAACTACTGGCCATCAAGGTAGCCTTTGAGGTCTGGCGCCACCATCTTGAGGGGCACGACATCCGGTGGAGGTGAGAACCGACCACCGGAACCTGGAGTACCTCCAGACCACCCGCAAGCTGAACCAAAGACAGATCCGGTGGGCGTTGTTCTTTTCCCGGTTCCAGTTCCGGATCCGCTACATCCCTAGCTCTCAGAATCAGAAGGCGGATGCCCTGTCCCGGAAACCCGAAGACAACGCAGACACGGTACAGCAAGCAGAACCCACCACGATCCTACCTCCGGCTGCATTCCTGGCCACCCAGGAGGCGCAGCCACTGCAGGTTCGGGTGCGGGAACAGCAGCGGGTCGACGCTTGGGCCCAGGAGCGACTCCGGGAGCTGGCTGAAGGGTCCAGCCCACAGTATCCGGGGCTGGTCCTGCATCAGGGCCTTCTGCTGCACCACGGTCGTCTGTACATCCCGCCAGGGCCACTACGGCTGGAGGTTCTCCGGATGGCCCATGATGCCCCAGCAGCGGGGCACTTTGGACGGTATCGGACCACCCATCTGGTCAGTCGAGAGTTTTGGTGGCCCCGCCTGAAGGCTGACGTGGCTCGCTACGTTGCTGGTTGTGATGTCTGCCGGCGCGCCAAGGGACCTACCGGGCGACCCCCCGGCCTACTTCAGCCATTGCCAGTTCCACCGCGCCCCTGGCACACGGTTTCGTTGGACTTTGTAGTGGACTTACCCTCGTCTCGTGGCTGTACCTGCCTTCTGGTTTTCTCCGACCATTTCACCAAGATGGTGCACTGCGCTCCCTGTCCATCTGTACCCACAGCCAAGGAAACTGCTCAGCTGTACCTTCAGCATGTCTTCCGCCTGCATGGACTACCTGAGCGCGTGGTGTCCGACCGGGGCGTTCAGTTCACATCCCGGTTCTGGCGAGCATTACACCAGACCCTCGGGACAGAGGTCTGCCTCTCGTCAGCCTACCACCCACAGACCGATGGCCAGGCGGAGCGGGCGAGCGCGGTGCTGGAGCAGTACCTCCGGTGTTACTGCAGCTACCAGCAGGATGACTGGGTCGACCACCTGGCATTGGCGGAGTTCGCCTATAACAACGCGGTGAATGCGTCCACCCAGCAGACCCCGTTCCAGGCCAGTTATGGTTATCATCCACGGCTGTTTCCAGAGGTGCTGCCGG